AGTGTCGACTCATTCGCTAGTCTCATCTACTAACACGATATCATCTGCAAAAAGCATACACCATGGCACATCATCCTGAATATTCCTCCTCATCCATAACTAAAGCAAAAAGATAAGGACTTAAAGTTGATTCTTGGTGTAACCTTACAGTAATTGAAAATTCACTCGTCTCTCCAGCCAACGATCTAACAGTGGTCACCACACCTTCATACATGTCCCTAATCACATCAATGTAGTTTTTTGTCACTCCTTTCTTTTCTAATACCCACCAGATTATATCCCGAAACACTCTATCATATGCCTTCTCAAGATCTATAAAAACTATATGAATGTCTGTTTTCTTCTGTCTATACTTTTCTATTACTCTCCTCAAATGATAAATTGCTTTCATTATTGACTTATCGCGCATAAATCCAAATTGATTCTCTGACACCTCTATTATATCTCGCAATCGGCGTTTCATCCCTCTTTCCCACACTTTCATTATATGGCATATCAGTTTGATTCCTCTATAGTTATTGCAATTTTGGACATCTCCTTTATTCTTATAGATTGGCATAAAAATACTCTTCTTCCACTCATCTGGCATTTTCCTAGTCAACAAAATCTTGCTAAATAACCTAGTAACTAAACAACCCTCTCTTACCCAAATATTTCAAGCTTCAATAAGGATATCATCGGATCCTAAAGCCTTATTTGATTTCATCTTCTCAAGTGCAATTTCCACTTCAAAATTCCTAATACTGAGATAGAACCTGTAGTCTTGGTTTTCCTTATTACCGACTACTTCCTCCCCTTTTGACCTTCCTCTGTGCTCCTCATTTAACAACTTATCAAAATAATTCTTCCACATCTCCATAATCTCTTCATCCTTCACCAACACCTTAGAGTCCTCACTCTTGATGCACTTAACCTGATAAAATCTCTTGTTTTCTTCTCTCTTATCTTAGCAAGTTTATATATTCTCTTCTCCCTCCTTACTATATAGGCTAGTATATAGGTCATCATAGGCTTTCAACTTAGCCTCTTACTACTTTTTTGACCTCCTTATTAGCCAATATGTAGCTCTTAAAGTTTTCCTTAGTTCTATCATTCTGTCATTTTTTAATGTACTCTTTTTTCATTTTAACCATTGTTTGAACCTCATCCCTCCACTACCAAATTTCCTTAAGAGTTTATTTGTTGTTGTTGTCGTTGTCTATATCTCGTCTTCACCCTTTAACTCTTTGAATTTGAGTTTAGAAATGTCTTGAGCGTGTTTCGAACAGGTTGGTTGAGTTTTAGTCTCTAATTTTGTTGCCCAGATTTTTGATGATCCGCTCGAGCGGGTCTTGTTGCGCTTGAGCGGAGTTTGCATCCTTTCAGCATTTTGTGCGTCTGCAGATGTACTGCAGAAGTGTTTTTCACGCTCGAGCGAGTATGAGCTCGAGCGGGCATATTTGCGCTCGAGTGGATGTCTGAAGTCTGTAAAAATATTGGAGGAGTGTATTCTACGCTCGAGCGAGTAGTGGTTTGCTGTTGTGCCTTGGCACTCGAGCTGATCTTTTTGGCGCTCGAGCGGGTAAAGTTTTTGTGTCTTACGCTCGAGCGTCTTACTATCCACTCAAGCGGACTCTACGTATATCAGATCGCAACTGCGTCATTTTAAATCACTTCTTCGGTTCTATCCCTCTCTAAAACATTCCAAAACCTTAATCTGAGAGCTTCTCTCTCTAAAATACCCTCTCTCTCTACATTTTAGTTTAGATCAAGTGATCTCTTCACCCCCTTCCTTCATTAAAAAGCTTGGGTTCTTCAAGACCTCCATTTTCATCCGAGTGGAAAGTGATTTCGGCGTGTTTGGGGTTCTTCCCTTGCTAGGCTCGTCTTCTACACTTAAGGTAGGGATACCCTACTCCTTATGAGTTTTGACATAGATTTTAGTCATTTTGTATAAATGGTGGGATATGAAAATTTTGGGAATTAGGGTTTTGAAATTTGAAATTTTGGGTTTTCTATTTTGGGGGTTCCAAGTGTATGAGTGGTCCCTAAAATGAAGTTATTGTGTATGGTTGATGAAATTTGGCCTTGGGTGCAATATTTGAGAAAATGGGGAAAAAGCCCCAATTTATTATGATTGATTAATTTGTAGAATTAATTTGGAAAATATGAAAATATGAAATTGAGATGAAAATCATGAAATTGGAAAGTTATGGGATTGAATGGTGTAGTTGGATAAATAAATCACTCACCTCCGAAAATGTTAATATTTTATCTGGTTGATTAATTTATTATCTGTTTAGATATAACTGCTTTGGGCTATCGGTGGAAGATAGTCTTGATTGTTGCAGACATTGTATGTTGATTAGGGAAAACTAAAACTAATCACCTGGAATATGTCATTGAATGGTTGGAATAACTCATCAAATATGTGTGTAAATTGATCATTGTATATGGTAAGTGTTTAAATACATTGTATAAGTATATTGTTTGGGAGGAGATACGGGATGTACTCCATGGTTTGAGAGGAGATAAGAGATGTACTCTCAAACCTGTTTAGGAGGAGATAGGGGATGGACTCCACTGATAACTAAGTTGGCCGGAGTGTTCAGGGTGAAAGTCCCGAAATCTTAATTATGGTTGCATAACGTAGATGAATTGAAGTATTGAAATGTTAATAATGAGTTGTAATCTCATTTGAAATTGAAGTGTTGAAGTATTGTTAATATGAGTTGTAGTCTCATTGTAAACTGTCTGGATGTATAGAGAACCATATTTATGAATTGGTTTGGATGATGAAACAAAAAAAGAAATTGAAACATATTTGTAAATATGGATTGACTATGAAAAAGATGTACGTTTGTTCATTAGAGTCAAACATTTATCAAATGCTGATGTTTTAGTTATTGCTCATATCTGATTTAGTATATCTCTACAGGGCTTTGGCTCACCATATATGGGACATCATTTTCAGATTCAGATGATATGCCACCTCCAAGGACGTAGCTTGAAAGACTTACAAGCTGAAAGATCCTTTTGTTGTTATCTTTTTGGTATTACATGTAAATTCAAGCCAAGGACTTAATGTGTTTTGAGTTAGTACTCTCTTTTTTGCAACTAAGTGTTGGTTTGGAAAGTTATAAGCCCGTAGGAGATTTACTTTTGTTGTCAACATGTAATACTTTTATAATGAATACTCTGATAAATGGAAATATGTTTTATTCTCTTATGTCTATGGATGACATGAATGTTGGGTTTATATGTATTCTTTTGAGGGCGTGACAGTTCGGTCCCTTTCCTTTCAACTCCCCAAGGACTTCTACTGAAATTCTCCTCATATAATTGGCTATTGAGTTCCACATAATGTTAGCATCATCTTCCAAGTTCCAAGTACCTTCATCATCCATTATATTCTTAAATATTTCTAATTTATCCCATTTTAGGTCCCACCATTTCGTCCTACGGCGCCCACTATCCTTTCTAACTTGGTTTTACCCTTCAAGTATAAATCTAGTACCAAAATCTTATATTGAGACGTTAGATTCTCTCCAAGAATCACCTTACAGTCGCTGCATTTTAGATGGTCCACTTTTCTTACTAGAAAGTAATCTATTTGGCTCTTAATTAACCCACTGTTAAAGGTTATAAATGCTCATCTCTTTTCTTAAATATAAATATTTTACATTACAAAATTACAATATGTGATTACTCAATATTTTTGAGCTCGTGTAATTCACTACTAATAATTTTAAAAATTATGTTTTTTTACAAATGTATCGTAACCTTACCCGTATCCTATTTTTTCAAGTTTTGTCGTATCGCCATATCTGTATCGTATTATATCCATATCTCATATCCGTATGCCTGCTTCCTAGATCTATACTAAATACTAATACTGAACGGCAACATCCATTTTTGTATGAACGCATTTTGTCATGCTTTTTCAATTCCAAAAATGCGCAGCAGAAACAAACAGTTTTACAACATATTTGACTTTGCCTCCATTAACTATATGGGGGGAAAATGAGGGGGAAAAAACCACTGTACACACCCACTCCACATCCAAAAGTGGCAGTTCCCTATAATATCACGATGCACGAGGCAATTACTCAATAGAAGCTTAAAGAAGTTATCTCCAATATCATCACGTAACTCCAATTTTAGGTTCATTCCAGAAACTTGCTCACAAAATCAAAATGGTTTCCTAAGTTGATGATGAAAAACAAGGAGGCTACAACAAGGACATTATATTCTCATGGGAACTGACCTTAAGGCCCTTGACTCTCGTCCTCTGCCTCCGCCTCCGCCTCCACATTTGTCACTAATACAACCATCTATAGAGCTGTTCCTAATGGGTTATGTCGAATGGTTGATAAATCCTTATTGTTAATTTGAATTTAGTGACTTTGGTATATATTTGTTTGATTGAATTTGAACCTGTTCTTTGAGTTTGTTGTTAAATTGATGATGCAATGATATATATATATATGTTGACGTTAGTGTTCAATTGATCAACTTTTCCCAGGTTAAAATTAAAATTTCAAAGTTTGCATTGCCTAGAAAATTGAGGAGATAAAAGCTAGACAAGCCTCAAACTTTCAACTGATTTTCTTTGCCGAAATTGTGTCAAGAGCAGTTACGTAAGTTCTAAATTATGGAGAAATTCAGCTGTCTTTCCCCCAAAATCAAGCACAAGCTTCAAATTTTTCAATGAAAAATTCAAATTGTTTCTTACAATATAAAATTAGAATTTAGAAAATTATCATTCTACACTTATTTAATAAATTATGCACATGCATTGTGTCTGGCATGAGTTCTAGTTTTGTCATGTCTTCTTTTGGAAGCAAAAAATTGTGCTGGTTTCAAATCTTCCAAGTGACAAAACCTAAGTTACATTACTAATTTACTGATATTAGGGATAGAACAGCCTATACACATCACACATAAAATTGCATATAAGAGACAATCTTTTCATCCATACAACTTCCTAATGCAAGAATGACTAATGAGAGATTGATTACCTTATCAGAAGCAAAGCAAGCAATGCTGCAAACTGATTTGCAACCACTGCACAATCTCTTCTTCGGAACCATATAATCAGCCGCACTACCTGCGGGCTCACCAGTGCTCTGCAACGAAGCTGTGATAGACTTGCTCTCCTTATCTTCCCACTTCAAGGGCAGTTTGGATGTGGCAGGCGGAGAGTAATTAATCAAACCCCAAGCCTCCAAGAAATCAAAGACCCTGCGAACAGATCCAACGTCTCCAATGATAGTCTTCCGGGCCTCCGTGAAGGTGATTTTCCTCGTGGGGTTTTCTCTGAACCTCCTAACAATAGAGTTCCTGTAGTACTTGTAAGCCCTAGGGTTCTTCGAAGGCGACCTCCCATCGAAGAACTCCGGGAGGAACCGAGCCTCACATTCATGAATGTTATTCCACGAAAACCACCCTGAAAAGAAAAGTTTCAAGAGCAAGAAAATGCATAAATTGTTTCTTTGGTTCTCTTCTCTCTCTGTCTTTCCCAAAGAAAAATGAAGCCTTAGGGCTATTTTTAACTAAAGGGGAAAAAGATGAATTAAAGAAAGAAATGAACTTACTGGAATAGCCCGGGATGTATATGAAGTCAGCATCGGAGGAAGGTGGTTCCTGCGGTTTGGAAGTGATGGTGACTGGGGTTTCTTTTGAATCGTTGGAAGCTATGGTGGGGTTGATGGTGGGGTTGATGGTGGGGGTGGGGATGGTAGTGGTCGGATTTGCTGGGGAGGAGTCCGGCTTTAGAGTGGTGGGTTCCGAAGAGGGTCTTGGGACCTCTTGGACCTGGACAGGTGGTTGTGGTTGTGGTGGCGGTGAGTTTGTGCCCATTTATTTGGTAGTTACAGGGAGAACAAAAATCAGCAGCACTAGGGAGGAAGAGAGGGATGAGGGGGATATCATCAAAATTCATACAGAAGCAGCAATTCACAAATTTAAACAACAGCAGTAGCGGTCAAAGAAAATTTGCAGCATCGTTTCCCTTAAAATCAAAATTCAACAGGTTGATTAGCAAACTCCCAAATTTGATACTCTAAGAATCAAGTCTTGTGAATGAAATCATCTCAATTACAAACACATGGACAAACATCAAAAAGCCACTCAACGAATCCAAAATTTTAGAATTTATATATATATAAAGTAGATAAAAAGGGGGCACACACAGAATCTACCTTTCTCGAGATGAAAAGACAAATCATCAATTTAGGGATGGAGGGTTTTGTTTAGGATGAGCGCTTTGAGTGTTAAGAGGTGAGGTTAGGGTTTCGCAGAGAGAGGGAGATGTTGAGAGGAGTGTGTGTGCGTGCGTGGTGAGTTGCAGAGAGAGAGAGGTAGAGAAAGAGAGGTAGAGAAAGAGAGAAAGAGAGAGAGGAAGAGAGTTTCCGTACGTACATACCTGTCGGTTGTTGTGAGCGTGGCTGGCTCGGGAGGACGTTGCAGCCTTGCTACGGACAGGGAGTCGAAGGAGTTGTTGAAGCCTGTATCAAAAATAGTTATTAGCGACTTGCGGGCCCGTATAGATGTAATCGGTTTGGTAATCGGTTTGATACAGGTGATATTTATGTAAAATTTTAGATAGAATTAATAATGCCGGTTTTATCACATTAAAAATTGATGTGGATTGAATTTTTTATCAAATTATATTGATTCAAATAGTTTGGCTCAATGTAATTTAATTAGTTTAAATATTTTTAAAATTGAATCATTTTTTAAATTTGTAGTATAATAAATAACTTATATAAAAATATTAAATTAGTCATTTATATACAATTTTAATTATATCCAATCCAACCAGTGGCGGAGCCAGAAAATTAAATTAGAGGGGACACTTATTAATTGCAATAATTTTTACAAAAATATTTCACGCAATTTTTTACGATTGATTTCAAGAAACATAATAAAAAAATATTAATAATCAGTGTGTTTGGTTTCAGTTTTCTGAATTTAATTTTTTGAAAATTAAGTTTTTTTATTTTTTTTTAGTGAATATTTTTTGAATTTTAAGTAATTTTTTTACCTTTTTAGATGCATCTTACTTAGATATATCTAAATAGTAAAATATTTGTGAAAAAATATTTTAAGAAATTAATAAATACACAAAAATACAAAAAATATATTGAATTGTCATTTTTTTTTGTATTTTTTGGTATTTAATGTATTTTTTAAATATTTTTTTCACAAATGTTATGCTTTTTAAGTGTATTTATGTTAGGTGTGTCTAAAAATAAAAATAAAAATTATTTAAAATATTAAAAAAATTCATTCAAAACATTAAAATACGAAAAATAAAAAAGTAGAATTTTTTGAAAACTAGAAACAAACAAGCTAAATGTTATTTGTAACTAATGTATCATGGACAATACAAAAAAAAAATATGGATATAAGCCTTAAAATAAATTATGTAATGATAAATTATTTTTTGATACAAAATTTGATTAAAAATTCAATATAATGATAATACCACGTCATCATTGATATGTGATATCACCCACTAATGGCAAATAAACACATAGAGAGTGAACCTCACATGTCAAATGTAACTAACAATTCAATAAATGTCATATATTTATAGTGAGATTGTTTGTACTTGCATATCATTAATAATGACATCGCCGTTATATTAAAAAAAAATTCATAACTAATATGATTTATTTATAGTAGTCTCTTCATTTTCAAACAAAATAATTATTATTGTTCTCATAATTTTTAAAATGTTATTGACATTTCACTCTAATAATATTTTTGTAATTTTTTATTTAAAATATTTTCTCTATGTTTGCAAAAAAAAAAAAAAATTCCCAAAATCTAGGCGGGCACGTGACCCCCCGGTCCCATGCTCCCTCCGCCACCGAATCCAACCATTCATAAAAATACAAACAAAAAATTAATAAATACTAATACTTAAAGCTTTTCCTGAATTAGAATTAGAAACAAATATAATTTAAGAACCAAAATCTTAACATCAAAATAAAACCAAAACTTGAAACAATAATTTTATTATATGTAAACAAGGTTTCGGTGGAAATCGGTGTATAATATTTTAAAATCGGTACCAAACTGAAAATCAAAAAAAAAATGATTTTCAAAACCGAACAGACCAAATCGTATTAAAAAACCGACCAAACATGACTAGTTTGATCCAATTCAATCAATTTAGTCAATCTTTTTTATTTTCCTTACGTCCGTAACCGGTACTCTACTCATGTCGTAGTTACTGGCCAATTCTATTTCAATTTTTAATTTTAAATTTTTATTATATTTTAATGTAAATTTACCAACAAAAATAATATATTAAGGCTAAGTTTGGGAAGTCCCAAATAAGCCAAAAAGCCAAAAAGTTACTCAAAAAGTTAAAAAGTTAACACTATTCACCAAAAGTCAACAATTACGGCTGCACAACTCCCAATTCAAATTTTCTTCTACAAACCAATTTTTACAATTTTTTATTACACATTTTTCCATAAAAAGTCAAAAAGTTAACCCAAACATCCATATTTTCAATCTCAATTTTTTAGTCCAAAAAGACAAAAAGTGCACTTATTTAGTCTTCCCAAACTTGGCCTAAATTTTAAAATAAAATATTTTTGTTTTCTTATGGTACACCTTAATCAGTTATATGTATTCTTCTTATTCAAATCTCTTAATCTTCTTCTTTGAATTTCAATTTTTTTTTTCTTCTTCTTTTCTCACTCCAAAACTCTAATCTACTCGACCAAAACTCACAATTATAATCAATATCATTGTTTTTTATTATATTGTCACTTACAAATAGAAGAAAATTTGAATAAAATCAAACAATAGATAAGAGTAATAATCGAAATAATTTTTTGAAACAACCCATCAAAGAGTGATTAACTATTCATTTAAATATCAAAATACAATTATTAATTTCTGTGTTTTTTTACATAAAAATGAGTATTCAGCCTATTTTTCGTCATTATTGTTCAGATTTTCATAATCTAACAAATTTACTTTGTTCAAATTTGTTCGGCAGTGTATAATTGAACAAAGTAAATTTGTTCGGTTCTGAAAGTCCGAACATAAAATTCACCCTCTCCTTCGCTGATGTCGCCTTTGCTAGTGTTGAATTTCTTAGTCGTGTTTCCTATATATACCTGAACAAAAGAAAGATTTTTTAAAGAGTTGTGCAAATGTAATTTGAATTTTTTAATTTGTTTAGTTTGGGTATATCTCAAAAAGGTAGTTTGATAAGGAAAAAAAAAATTGTACTGAAAATAAATTATAACTCTAAATAATTTAATAGTACATATTGAAAAATTGCACGCACTTAAATAATTTTGGGGTGTTAATAGAATTTCCCGTAATTACTGCTTTAAGCCAACTTGTTGGATTGGCGTCCAAAATTTGAATTATTAAATGTTGTTTTGGGAAGTGATTGTTTTTATTTTAATTAATTTTTTAATTTTGTACCGAAATAATCATAGAAAAATAGAATGATGAATTGATTGTAATAATTTTTTAATTTTTTTTATTACTTTAAGTGTTTGTTAAGACACCCAAATTGTTAAAATCGTTAATGGTCTCAAATTTTTTATTTTATTTTTTCATATAGGGTGTTGTAATGAAATTTAATAAATTATAATTATAATAATGAAAATCAAATATAACATATAATTTAGTATAAAAAAATTCTAAAATAACAAAGAAAGTCTCAATAAATACATGAAAAATAAGACCATTCAAACTCGTCTCGTCTGTTACTACCGTTGTGTTTAGTTGGGAGATTTGAGAAGGGATTTGGAAAGGGAAATAAAAGATAGGTAAAATATGCCTATATTTCACGTAATTTCACACATTTTTTTTTTTTCAAATCCTTTCTCAGATTTCCCAACTAAACACAGTGTAAGGATCTCAATTTAATCAATTTAAAAAGCATTTTGGAGTTACTTTTTAATAATTGAAAGAAAAACAGTGTGTTAAAATTATACTAACATACTTTATTTAAATTTCGAAATAAACATATTTCATTTCACAAATTTAATATAATTATATTAATATTTTTTTTTAAATCAATTCATATAACTCTTATATGTGTTTAGAAATGACTTTTTTTAGTAATTTTTTAATTAAATTTTTTTCTCATTAGTAAAATTTTTTGAAAAATAAAAAATATAAATTTATACTTTTAAGATCTACCCAATTAGATGGACTGGAAAATATCATATTAAAGATGATATTAAACTCTCTCTTTTTTAGGGAATTCAAATTCGGCCTTTTGGTGATAATAAAACTGGAAGAGAAGCTGTACATTGGTATTATCCCTGACTGTTTCCAAGTTAACCATTTGTTCTTAAAGGGGATGCTAGAGTATAAAAGTAGTGCGGAGAAAACAAAGAAAAAAAAAAAAATTTGATTTTGAAATCAAACGTGATAGGAGGAGAGAGAGGGGACAAGTCCATGTGATGAGCATGTTTTGTGCTGGTGGAGATTGGTTTAAAAAAAAAAAAAAGGTATGGGTGTGCAAAAAGTGAAGGAAGATAGGTTGGAAAGGTGACAAAGTGGTAGGTGTCATTGAGTAGAGAGAGAGAGAGATATGAATTGTTTTTTTTTGAGTTTTTTTTTTTTTTTTTACCCCCACCCACTTGCCACCCCCCGCCACTGCCACCCACCACCCGCCGCTACCATCCACCCGCTCGCCACCACTACACACCACCCGCCTGCAACAACCAGCCACCTGCTACCCACCCGCCACCACCACCCGCTACCACCACCACCACCACAATCACCCACCACCCACCTGTCACCACCACCCACCACCCGCCATTGTCACCCACTCCCCGCCCGCCACCACCCACCACCACCAGCTACCCACCACCCACCGTCTTTCGCCGCCACTTGCCACTACTTGCCATTTTTCACTCTTTTTTAATTTTTTTAAATTTGGTAAACATTTTGTCAATTACCAAACGCGTTTGTAGTTTATGTTTTTCTAAAAATAAACAAAAAATAAACAAAAACTAATTTATAAAATTTTTGTAAATATAAACTGAAAACGTAAATGCTACCAAACACACCCTTTGTATTTGTACTCGAGTTTACGTTTGATTTAAACAAATAAAAAAAAAATGAGTTGATCTATTGAGTGAGGTGAGATCTGTATTTTCATCTGTAGATTAGAAATTTTGAAAGGTTCATCTTCTTCTTTTCTTTTTTTTCTTTTTTTTTTTTCTCTTCTTTTTCTTGGCTCAGGTCTTTTTTTTTTCTTGGCTCAAATCTATTGTTGTTGTTGTTGATGATATTGTTAATTATAGCGATTCCAGTTTTGACGTAACTCTTGTTGCATTCTGAAATCGGGTTTCATGGTTTACTGTT